GCAGGGCTGGACGATAAAGTGGAGTTATTCGTCACGTGTGCAGAGCAAAGCGGACAAACAGATAAACTCTGAGAGAACAAAGACCAACCTGGGAAGGCCGATGTGCAAATAATTAAATTTCCAAAGAAAAAAAAAAGAAGACAAAAGATGAAGAAAAAGAAAAGAAGGTACATGATGGTGGGGAAATCCCAGACATTCCGGGCGTGCAGGGGTGAGTCTCTGGAGTGAAGGTCCCTCTGGACAGCTGGTGCGACTCGGAGAAGGAAGCTCACTCACCCCCTGATGGCAGAGCCCCGAGCAAACACACACACAACCCGGGGAAGACAAAGACCAGCCATTCCATGGCCGCAGGCAAGCAGCATGGCCTTCACCTCCTAAAGAAACAGACTTCCAACCCAGAGGGAGGGAGGGAGACACATCTGTTGGTTGCCTCCTGCACCGGCCCCCAGTCAGGCTTGGGATCAAACCCGAAACCCACGTACGGGCTCTTGACCGGGAATCGAACTCGCGACCCTTCAGTGCTCCGGCCAACGCTCTGACCACTGAGCCGCCGGCCGGGGCTGTAAACCTGCCATGGCCCCGCCCTGTGCGGACATCAGGGGGGCCCGTCCCCTTAGCCTGCACTCTCTTCCCAGGCCCTGGGTGGGGGGCTGCTTCCCAGCTTCCCTTGAGGCCGGGACCGACAGCTTCACACTTTAAAGGCACCTGCCCTGCGGTTTTTACAGTTACCCCTTCTCTCCGATCGGGGAGGGGGCCGGACACTGCGTCTCCTGCGTGTTCTGCCTGTGGACTCCCCGACTTCCCGCCTTGTGTCTGGCCCTGCCCTTTAAGCTCACCTATGTGTTCATCTCTCGCTTTACTGACGGGAAACGGTAGCGAGCGGAAATGTCAGCTCGACGCCCCAGATGCCCCACAAGCCTTTATTTTATAAACAAACAAAAAAAAACAACAACACAGTCCCGTCGATGGGGGGGAATAGACAGCCGACCTCACAGACGGACCTACTGGCACGGCCCGACTGGGCTGACTGCTCCACACGTCAGCTCTGCATGTCGACGGGGTGCCCCGTGCAGAACACTGACCCGCTGTCCCGTGGGAAGTGGTCTGTCTCTAGGTCTCTGATACTGTGGGGTACAGGGGGCGCAGGGAGGCAGCCATGCTTTCAGGAACAGGGTCCCCGTGACCCCACTCAAGACAGGAATTCCCGGGGCCCCTCTGGCTCACATCCCTCTGGCCCGGGAGGCAGGGCTCTGGGCCCCTTGGGGACACGGGTAGGACAGCCAGCGCTGCAGCCGCGGGGCCGTCTTTGCCGTCTCTGACTCCCTTTCTGCCAGCAGCCAACACCCCACACTCATCCCTCCGGGGGCGCCAGCTCAGCCACAGATGGTGTGCAACTCAGCGGCCAGATACGCTCCGTCACGCCTGTCTGCTTCCCATAAACATGGCCCTGGGGTCCCCGTCTCCTGGCCCCGGGCAGCTGTCTCCTCTCCTGTCCCTCCTTCCTCCCGCGGTGATCAGACCTAAGAATGAGTGTGTCCACACCCGCATCTGGTGACAGGTGCGGGTTCCCTGGAGGACACCTCCCTCCAGGCTGTCACCGTCCTTGGTATGTTCCCAGATCCCATCACTGTCCACTGCTGCTGCCAGGGGGACGCTCAGGGGCGGCCACGTGTTCCCGAGCCTTTCCCTGGGGTTTGGTCCCATCCGGAACCCGGTGCCGGATGCCATTCAGACAGGTGGGCATCGCCGCTGCCGGCCCCCCAGGTGCCTGAGCTGTGGGCCTGGAGGAAGGCCGGCGGCAGCGCCCCCTCCTGGGCGCGGGGAACCTGCCGCACTCAGCTCCTGCCGCTGGCTTGCAGTGGGCAGAGGCGGAGTTCTGTGC